CTTAGATAAATTATTTTTAATCGTGGTAGTTAATCAGCGTTCAAGTCAGCATATACTTCAAATCATGTTTACATTCTTTTAAGTGTTACCACAATGTCACGAAAACAAAATTTCTTATTCACTGCATAATTTTCATGATGTATGGGGTAGGGGCCGCTGCGTGGCCTAGGTACCCAATTTGTTTTAAATAAAGAAAAGATCGTGGTAGTTAAAACAGTTTTTTGAAACTTTGAATTTTAAAATTTAATACCCCAAAATGCTAATGTTGCTACCACTAAGAAAAATTTTTCTTACCGAACGAGCTATTGATGTATGTTTTTTTCTTTTTTTTTAGTAAGTTTGATTTTAAGTTATTTCTCACTTTACATATTAATAATATTAATAATTTTAAAAATTCCACAAGAAATTTTTTTTCTAGTTCTGCTTTTTTTTTCATTTTCCCTTTTTTAGCTCAATGTATTATTCAATCTTCTGAGTCCATCTCAAAGATACGGCATTTTCAAGATGAATGGGATATAGACATATTCGCGACCCCAGTTGCCCAGTTACATATGATCTCTAGTACAGTTCTTTAGTGGTGAGGCTTTTAAAATGGTGCCAAACTTTTGAAAAGCTTACTTTTTCATTGTCTACCACTCTGAAAGATATTTTGCAAAAAAGCGTAGTAGTTAACAGTCCTGTAATTATGACATAACGTAGGGATCTCACGTTAAAAGGTTTAAAAAATGGTGGTGAAAACGTATTTGTACTGTCATACATTTGTGAACACCTCAATGCGTAATTTTTTAATTGAAATATATATTTATTTTGTTGTTTCTAATTCCCAAGAGGTCCATCCAAATTAGACCAAATGCATAAGTCCAAAAATGTGCAGAAAGTCTAAAAACAGATGAGGTTTTGAAAAGAACTTGTCTATCTTAAAATCGATACAGTTTAAAATATACTCGGGCGAAGACTCAGCAGTCCCACATTTAGTGCAAAGTCCATAAGTCTTTCTCCCCTGAACATACGAGAGACACCTCAAGTGACCACTTGCAAAGCGAGAGAAACAAGTCTGCTGGATTCTAGGTCCCTCAAAAAACAAGGCACCTTCAGGACGTTTTCTGAAATACCAACTATGCAGAGGAGGAACCCTCCAGAGGTCCATACAATTTTTTTACACTCTGCAAAGACCTCACTGAAAGTGGAAGGTATATCTGACTGTAAAGGTTCCAAAGAAGCATCCTTAGCCAGAGTCCGCCATCTCGTTACCTTTAAATCCAACGTGTGATGGAATCCACTGGAAGTGTACCTCGATGGTTATAAGGATATATTTATAAGTTAGCTAAACTCAAAATGTTAAGTTGATATTTAGAAAAAAAAGCAATGAGTGCTAACGTAAATTTTCTACCCCTTTCTGAAACACGTGGGAAGATGAAATAGCAGATATGCATTATAAATTAGAAATACATACTTGTATGAGTGCTTTTCAAGACATTCAATTTCTTTCAAAATATCCTGAGTGAGGAAGCTGGCGTAAGCTTTAGTAGTGACCACCACACCATCCGGAACGGAATACTAAAATAATTATTATACAAAGTTAGAAAGCACAGCAAAGCATTCTAACTCTCATTCAGCAGGCTTAATTATGTATGCTTGTTTTGGTGGGAAAACATTTTTTTCCGAACTTGCTTACGTAACACTTTAACGCTACGAAAAATAATGAATTTCCCTGTGAAACAATTTTCTGTTATATGTGACTTTTAATCAAATCTTAGGCACTCTCGTATCGCTATAATTTCAAATCTGCGATTGATTTCTCTCTACAGTTAAAACTATGCACAGAATTTACACAGAATGTGTCGAAGCTGAATTTAGATATGTTTGCCTAATTGTGTAACGAGTAGTTCAGGATTAACAGTTAAAGATGTTCAAGATGAAATACAGTAAAGTTTCTTTTCCAAAAAAATATTAGACAACAGCCATTTTGCCACATTGCCAATGTAATAAAAAAGCTGACCTGTGATCGCTTTCTGGCGATCACAATTTTCTTCATTTTGTAATGAATCGTATTTTAATTTTTTTAATATTCTCACTGAACAAGGATTCTCACTTACTGCTTCTATTATTACTGCATTTGTACTTTAATATTTTACTGCCTTATGCACCAGACGTAATTCTAATAGTTTTTTACTATTATTTTTGAAAATTGTAGAAGAGCCATTAATTTGAAAATGAGAAGAAAAACATAAATTTTGATAATTGTATCTCTTGATTAGCTTTTTTATTACTCTATTTGTTTATTACACTTATATTTTACTTATTTATTACATAATAAATTTGGCTGTTTTACCGTTTTAAGCTCTTCGCTCAAATGACTAAGTTTTCCAAGAGAAGAACCTTTTCCACCACTCACATCTGCCAACTGACAAATTTCTTCCTTGAAGGTAACAACATCAGGTAACACTATTAAAAGAAAGAAATGAATTATTATATATTGTTTGGATAGTTGGGCATATGATCCTAAAACTTAGAATTAACACATTATAACACCATAGTTGACAACAACTACGGATTGTCCCTAGTATTTAACTTTATATTTAAAGTGATAAAGAATCTTACGAATTTCTTTTTAATTTAATTTATAAATTTACATCATAAGTATATTTATCAGTATTATATCATAAGTAATTTAATTTGATTTTGACTACCACTAAATTAAAATAAATCTTTCTAAAAAGCCAAAACATCAGCGAAACCGGTGAGGTTAATACAGAGATGCCAACTGCTCCGGACACGCCAAAATAATTAAAAAAAAACGGTAATTAACTACTAACTAAATTTTGCAAATATTTGACAATTTTTGCTTGCTTTTTCGAAGGTCTAGCGTTACATTAATATTACAAAGTGGTGAATTATATAAGCCTACGAATCATTTAGAAATAGTGGTGGATAAAAATCTACTAAATTGAATTTATTAAACCAAGAATCACAATTGATAAACTACCACTGTAAAATATATAATTGCTCTCCGGAGCAAGTTGGCATCTCTGTTAATATGCTGCGCTCCCTGTAAGAAGTGTCTTTGCTGTTAGCAGCATCGTTTATGTTTTAATGCGAGCTTTTTAGTTTCATGAAATTGATTAAAACTTATTTTGTCAATCACTATTTTTAAATAATTTCACCGTATATATAAAATGCGTAATTTTTTATATTATTACTCTGGTGGCTAAGCTTGTGAAGTGTTCGCAGAATTCTACGGTTTTTTTTATAAGTTTTCTAAATAATCTGCCGAAAATGGAGCAGTTGGCTTCCCAGTAAAAATAAGTGACAAAATAGCCATGTATAACTGTCAACTTGAGCGGCGTTCAGAAAGAACTTCCTTAGTAGTAGCAACATTAGCGTGTTGGCGTATTAAATCTTGAAGTTTAAAGTTTCAATTTTTTTTTAACTACCAAGACAAAGTAATAAGTTTAAAAAGAATATGTGGATAAGATTTATTTGTTGACTAATTAAGCTTATGAACGTCTTGGGAGGGTTTTTTTTAGAAAAATCTTTCAAACTTAAAAGTTGTTTTACTACAATTTTTTATGATCTATATTAACGACCGCACAATTTGGTAGGCATGCAATTGTGAAAAACTAATTTTATTTACAATTGCATTCCAATTAGTCTTTCACTACCACTTGGGAAATACTTCCTCTAAAAGAGTAAAAGTTGGCAGGTTTGCAACACACCACAATTTTAAAAGATAACTATCTGAAGTAATTACGTTCGCAGTAATGGCATTTCATTCAGAAACATTCTGACATTTAATTATAAATATTACTGGAGGACAATTTCTTTTTCTGCTTCATAAGATTTTTGAACAAATCTTAGATATTTTTGGGTCGCTGATTTCAAATCTGAAATTGTTTAGTCTCCACAAGCTACACTTTTTATGCAATTTAATAATATATTTCTAAGCAAGATTTGTTTTAAACTCACTCGAATGAATTCTAAGTGACTCCACTTCTCTAATACGTTAAGAGTGGTAAGAAGAAGGCAATAATACATTTCAGTTTATGATGCAAGACTTCAGGTCAAAGAATTTTTTAGCTTAAGAGTTATTTACAAAGGAGAAGACAAGTTTACATGCATAACTTATGCTTCTTTTTTAACTTGTTAATTCAGACAAAATATAAAGTAAACTAAAAATACTATTTTGGAAAGAAACGGTAGCTTTCGGGGCACTACTTATTTCAGATTTAAAAAATCCACACATCGTTACATTGGGGAACAAATTTTTGTATAAATGAAACAAAAATTTTTCCCCAATGTTATCATTTCAAATTTAGAAGATTAGTTAAAAATGCTTTGTCCTCTCACTAGCGTTTTACTCATTTTAGGTATTTAGTTGGAAGCTTTCGTAAATATGTTTTTATGCAATATTAACTATGCATTTGACCTTACAATTTTATGGCAAAATAATGGAGTTGCATTTACTTTTAAATTTTGATGTATTTAGTCATTGCTCTGGAAGGCTCACTTTATCTGCTTATTTTATACTATGGTATTCTAGTAAAAAATTGTTTAAATAGTCGATTGTTTAAAACAAAGTTTCAAAAATTCAACATATACGTCCTGTGAAATCTCTGATTTAATTACATTTTATTCTCAATTGTACTATAATATATGCATTCCAATCTATGCATTTCAATATAACGCACCTCACCTTTTGTACAATACAGTTTCTGAGGAATAGCTTGTAGTGGAAATTCAGTCCATTGCGAACGCCTTCGATGTCCATTTTTCTTATATTCGGGGTAATAGTGGTGATCTCGGCAATAATAGAGGGGACCAATTGGTCAAAGACGCGACTTGATATTGCCTTGAGCATGATGAGTTGTGTAGTAAATTTAAATAAAAAAATACTACTTTGAAATTACATTTGAGATAAATGACATAGTGGAACAAGTTTTTTGTTGCATTTATACAAGTACCTAATTGGGGTGCGGGGATTTCAATATGAAATTACTTTTGTTCTGAAAGCTGCAGATTCTTCTCAAAGCCATATAATTTTACTTCAGTTTATTGCTTGCCTGAAACTCTTTGATATTTACAAAGACTGTGTAAGTTAATATACGTACATATATATTGCCTACTCTTTTAAAAATATCACTGAAGATAAAAATGAATAAATAGATAGATAAAAAATACGTATGACCTTAACGTATTGCATAATAAATTGAAATGTATTATAGTCTTCTTCGCGTTACTACCAATATATCCGAGAAGTTAATTTTAAACAATTCCTTTACAGGAATACATTTTTAAATTGTATAAGAACTGTAGCTTGATTGCAGTGAGGCAAACTGATTGTAGATTTGAAATCAGTTTCCAAGATCCGAACAAAAATCTCGTGCAGCAGACAGAAAATTGTTCTCTTGTATAATTCATAGATTTTTACCTGATGGAACTTTAATCTTTTTTATTTCCGAAACTTCTGCACTTCTTAATGTTGCGTGGGGTCTGCAAGAAAATGATTTTATTTATTGGTTTGATAAGTCATATTTTATAAACAAAATGCAACAACAAAACTCCTATTTATTTCAATTTAAAATCGTCCTTTTTCAAATTCCAATTAATTAGAAAATCCAAAATTCAAAATACGTTTGTATTCGAAGTTGACAGGGAATCTAAAAATTAATTCAACACTTCATAAAGACACAACTTTTTCAAATTAAATTTTAAATTCGAGCATTCTGTCACAAAAAATGAAAGATAATGATTCTTTATAATGAAAAAACTATGCAGTAGAGGATGTTAGTCATCTTCAGAAAAAAATTGCCATTCATATTGTTTCTGAGATATTTGTGCAACAATTTCGCAGTATTTCATATACAACAATGGTACATAAACATAAAATAGATGGTACAAAGAAATCACCTGACAACTTTGCTCAGATAGCAATTTTTATATATTACGCGAACAAGAATCATGTCGTTCAACATAAATGTTATGTCACACAAAAGTGATGATAATCTAGAGAAAGCTAAAACTTAGAAGCAAAAATGTATCTAATGCACTATGCTTTAAATTTCCAGTTGTTTTCACTTTATTTGAAATAAACATTAATTCTATGCATAATCATATAATTTTTATTTTTTAGTAAACAAGAACTGATGGAATGAAATTGTAATACTTGAAAATAATTAAACATAATTTACCTTTTAAACAATATTCCGTAACCTGTTTCGCCATTTAAGTTGAATTCGATTCTTTTAAAATCATTCCCAGGACCACTTTCCTTTAAGAATTCAAAGCCAAAAGTGCACCCTTCGAAATTGAAAGGAACTACACCTGCAAAGTTTATAATTATAAAACAATTAGTATTTAGAATTTATAAATAACAATGACTATTTTGATAAGATGCTTCAGAATAAGATAAATATTTATACTTATAAAAAACAAATGTGCTAAAATGAATACTTTACTCATCAGAAAACAAATTATTACGAAAAAAAACCTTACTGTATACAATTTCATGAAAAATGGATTTTAAAAGTATTTAAATATAAGTTAAGAACTCACCTTTTACGTTAAAAATATATGGATGTAATACGGTAATATATATAGGGAACTAATACGGTAAATAATACGGTAATTATAATACGGTATAGTGGGGAAAATATGACGTTTAATAAAATAGAGGTTTGGCTATTTTAATGAGTGCTTACCCATTCGCGCCTAACGTTGGAAATCACGCAGATCTCGGTGCGCTGCCATGAAACGGCATTAACCAATCCGTCGGATATTTATAATCGATGATGGGTACGATTATGGGTAATTTTTTAGTGTAATTGTTCCTACCAAAAAAGAAAACACAAGTGGTAACACAAGTGTTTCGTTTTTAGGATTTGTTTTGTAGTAAAAAGATAATTCTACATACCGTTAACAAATTAGTAGTATGTGTGGTAACACTTTAACATGCGTGGTAATCACATTAGAAGTATATGCTGCAAATGTGGTGCTTTTTAAAAACTGAAGTGATAGATAACGGATAGAAATATCTATTTATTATTTAAAAAAATGTACTACTGAGAAGCCATTTTAGGCAATACATATGCTTCTAAATTTCAATTTTTTTTTATTTCATAAATTTATTCATTCCAAATCCCTTTTAACGCTATTTTTTGAAGCTATGACACCAAGGAAAATACGAAAGCGATAACTTATATGCCTTACACTTGAAACAATGCGATGATTTTTAAACTATATATAATCATGCCGTGAAGAATTATTAGGGCTTCAGAACATACAAATAACTTAAATATTTTAAAAGGTATTAAAAAATTTTAAAAATCACCAATTTGACGACATTTTTCCATCCAGATGAAAATTATCAAAATCACTGCCTTATTCTCCTTTTTTGTGAATTTTTATGAGCCCAGATAATGCAACATTGGAGTAAAATTTTAAATATTATAAAACTAGACCACAAATAATTTTCATTTTAGCAAAACTGTGGCTTCTCTCCACATTGACGTTTTGCGCCATTTTCATAATTATCGTAGACAGCGCTGGCTTCAGTTAGGCTGAACTTGACTTATTAGTCACGAGTAACAGTTACAAACTCACAGCAATTATGAAAATAGCATATTATTCTTTAAAAAGCATCCTTTCATAATACGACGGAGCCTTCGAAAAACAGATCTAAATGAATCAATCAGTTAATTAATTTTAATTCAAAATTTTTATTAAGAACGAATGCAAATATTTCTATTCTCACTAAATGTTATGACTAAGAATTTAATTTCAAATCAAGTGTATAACAGGTATTCACAGTCACGACAACTGAACATCAAAATCTATTTTTAACCTTTCTTTCTTCAACAGCACTTAACATATACGTCATTGGGTTTACTTTAATTTCCAACAAATATTAACATGAATTACCATGAGATTGGCTGAATTGGCTTTATTTCTGGCAGTATCCTTTTCCGATAACGTTCCTATAATGGATCTTTCCTGAACTCCAAAAGCGTTGATTAAATAAATTTTTTATTTGTCTTTTGATTAGACAGAACGTGGGAGATTTCTTTCACACTACTTGTCCTTATTCAAAGAATGCAAAATTTATTATTCCACTTATAATGCTACTTGGATAACTATATATTTTTTATTTTACATCTCGAGGTCTGCAACGAAGTAAATTTTTGTTCTGTTTATCTACCTGTTCATTCATCTGCTTCAATCATACACTTTCCATTAAATTCTGATTTCTGCATTGATCAACAAAAAGTCCATCAACTTCAATCCACACCAACTGCTTCATACTTTACATGTACGCTTTTTTATATAATGACATAGTNATGGATGGATGGATGGATGGATGGATGGATGGATAACTTTTTTTCCAAGGCTCAAATAATTTAATGCAGGCTTACCAACTACTAAATTTTTTGCCAAATATTTTATATAGTGGTAAACACTTAAAAAATCCAAAGCTTTCAGAATTTTTGGTAATGTTTCCAACATTTTAAAGGTCTCACCACGAATAAGCTGGAATAAAGTGGCGTTGCATATCAAAAACATAGCGATCACTAGAATAAATTATTGAAAAAAATCGCAGAAAGTTGGCAGTTTCGTTAATAATAAACAATCAAAATTGGAAAGAATGCGCACATTAAAACTAGCGATCAAGTATAACTTTGCAGTTCAATAGTTCCCAATCAAAATTGGAGAATATCCCTGCTTTAAAATTTGCATTGAAAAATTTATTTGCAGTATTTCAATTGCAAATAATTATAATCGAAAAATATACCTATATTAAAATTTGCACTGGCACTTCCAATTCCTCTTTCTTTCGACTCAAAAACCGAAACGGATGTGTGATCAGCATCATATAAATCGCAATTTGACTCCACTAGAAATCCAAACGAAAATCTGCATAAATAGAAAAAGAAAAGGAGAAATTAAAATTATTTACAAAAATTATATCAGATGGCGTGAAATTCATGTAAATAAGTAGCATACCTATTCGATAACGCTTTAATTTGGCTGAGATGAAGGTATTTTCCAGACTGAAACGGGAAACAAATATAATCAGAAACTTTTTTTTGTAATTTTCTAAAAGTATAATGAGTATTATTTGATTAGAAAACTTCATTCGTTTTAAAAATGTATAAATTGGAAATAACAATCGACATGTTTCAAGTTCTCAAAAACAGACGCCCATTTTCAAGACTCACACCACCAGACATCAATGAAAGTAATTTGAAAAATAAGCGAAAGGTTGCCAATAGAAAAGTTCTAGTTGGAGGAATGGAAAAGTTCTAGTTCTGTTTCTCGCCTTTATGTTTCCATTTTTGTTTTAGAAAATTTATGTTTATGTTACAAGTCAATTTTGTTTCTTCTCATTCATTACTGGCAATTCTAGAAAATAAGTGCCTGCTTTTGAGCTCTTGAAACATGTCGAACATTATTTCCAATTTGCATATTTTTGAAGCAATTGAAGTTTTCAAGGGTTAATTAGTTTAATCTTTAATGAGTGCGTAATGTAGTCAACATCTCTACTGAGGCATTTTTTTAAAAAGGAATTGAATGAAAATGGGTTATAGATGTGGGCAATACTTTTAAAACAGATTTCTGAACCAAACATTGCAAAAGAAAACTGCCATGTCAACTCAAACAATAATATTAATATAGTAAAAACAATAACTACTACAAAAGTATAACTAAAACTATAGCAGAAAACTGTCTCGTCAACTCAAAACAGCTATAAAAAAAGGAATTCTTGTTTGGTTTAGAAACTTATGACAGAGCTCTACAATTGATATTCATAAAAACTGCTGAAATTGCACTGATATATAGTATTCTTCAAGTAAAAAATTAAATTTTTTGTCGTCAAGTTAATTTTACAACACAATCGCACTTTTAGAAGGCAATTTTTTTAATACTTTGGTAACCATATCGTCGAAAAGTATTTGTAACTAAATACAAGATAAGCATAACAGCCGACGTTTGCTTCTATCAATACTACTTAACATTATCGGTAAGCGGTAGCGAAATGAGAAGAAAGTTACCCATAAAATAATTTTGGTAAAATATTAGTATGCGTTACACGCTTGGAGTGTTTTTAAAAATGTCTCCAACGCTGAAATGAAGCGTTAATTAAATTTCTAAAACCTTAAAGTAATTGCAAAAGTTAGAGTTTCGCTACTATTTTATATATAAAAGTAAAATCCTCCATGAAAATTTGCAGTTATGCTAAAGTGATAAGTGGTCTGTAATTGCATGCCACGATGACACAAATTTTTGTATTGATGTGAAAAGTGTTTTTATTTTTAAAAAAAATAGAAATCGAACAATCGAATCAATTTAAGTTTGAAAAAGAAATCGATTCAATTTTAGACTAAAAAAATTATTTTAAATTTTTTTATACGTTATGGTATTCTTCTCTCTTCAAAATGTATTCTAAAAATAAAATAATTTAGTTTACTGTCTTTGTCTTCGACGCAAAAGCGATCAAAATTATCAAAGTAGAACGATCATGCTTAGCTGCAAATTTTTAAGCATTTTGCGTAAACTTCTATTTTTACACTTAAAATGATAGTAAACTTCATGGTTTCTATTTATATTTTGATTTATAAATTACAATCAAAATGATTTTCCCCACTACGACTTAAATAAATTGAACATATTTTTGAATGTAGGGTAATATATTGATGATATGTTTTTAGCTCTCACAAAATATAACGCATATGACTGGAATCTGTGACTTGAATACAATATTTATTTTACTACCAGAAAATCCTCTTCCCTTATAAAACTAAATAATAAATTGGCGTGCGTGGTCATGTTACCGAAAAATAGAGATTTGGAATTAAATGGGTTAGAACCACATGAAAAATAGTAGTTTCATCTATAAAAGTATCTGTCACAACTTATGAAACTTAAATAATAGCAGCTTTAAATAAAATCATGAATCTGCTGTGAATACATTACTTTTTTAGTGTATCCTAGAATGTGATGAAATTCGTTTGGTTTTAGTTGAGTTGGGTTGCCTGTAAAATAGAAAGTAGACAAGTAAGAATAGTAGAAGAAAAAAAATATTAAGTTGTAAGAATTTAAAATCCCACAATTACAAGCGTTGACGAATCTTTCAATAAGTTTAGTGGTACTTAAAGTGTGTAATGCTTCTTAATTTCTTCAGCGCAAAATTACATCCAAAACTAAGGAGTTATTTTGAGGTTGACAGATGCTAAAAACACACCTGAAGTAGAAAGTGAGGTTATGTTTTGCACCAAAAATAACCTCATTAATAAACCTCAATTTTAACTTCATTTCTTCCTTACAAAATCATCCTCATATATAACTCAGTGATACTTTTAGTAGCGAGAGAGTGAAGTTATTCACACCTCAAATATACTTATTTGCTTGAAGTATAGAAAAAATAACCTGTGCACCTAAAAAAATAATCTTCCTGAGTTGGTTTCTCTAAAGTAGATTTCCATCAACCTCAAAACTACCCCAAATATGAATACGATAACTGCATACACCTTGATTATACACCTTGGGAGGTTGATTTTGTAAGATTGTTTTTGAAGTCAACTTCAAATGAACCTCAAACCAACCGTAAAACAACCTCAAATAGACCTCAAAAACAAATTAAATTGTTGTAAGGATACGCTTTTTGCGAAATATTTTATATAGTGCGAGACAATTAAAAACTAAAACTTTCAGAATGTTTCGCAATTTGCCAACATTTCAAAAGCCTCACCACAAGTTGGTGAAGTTGAGTTGTGTAGGGGTTGATGAAAAGAGCCTGTGCAATTTGCTTTTATCCTCTGTGCTGTGTGAGAGAGTTGAGCTGAAGATGATGAAGAAGTGAGGATACAAGATGATCATGGAGAAGAAACTTTAAACTAATTCGATGAGAAATTTGCAGTTTTCTGAGAACTCAATGTACAAAATTTTGTGGACCCAACACCTTTGAGTTGATGATGATGACGAAAGAAGTAGAAAAAAGTGATTGATGTTTTGTATCATTTGCATGAAGTGGTATGGAAAATAACTTTAAATGAAATTTGTAAAACAGAGAATCATACTTTAAAACATACACTTAGCTAGTAGAAATTTTCCTACAAAGCGTAGATTGTTGGCCGCCCTGTAAATATTAGGTCCACCGGAAAATTCTGCCCAGAAAAGAGCACGCCCCATTGAAGGTGTCTTTATTAAAATAAGCATGTTAAAACATTAATACTTTTTTTTTTTCATATAGTGACCTTTATTGCATATATTTTTCAGCGTAATATTTTAAGTAAATGCAATGAAATTAAACCGTTAAAAACATCTGGGCATCTGAGGCCGCTTGCGGCCCTTTTCAAATTTGTCTTTAGCTTGATCTTTGAGGAGCTTCGATGAGATTGTGGAATTCAAATGAAGTAAAGGAGTATTCATGTGAATCATTGAGGTTCAGATTGTGTAATTATAAGCTGTAGGGTGATTTTTGCTTTAAATATAAATGATCTGAATTTTAACTTAAAGTGGTAGTTGCGATTAAGTTATTAAATAGATAATAAATAAATAAAAGTGAATTGAGTTTCTACTACTTTTTACATTTTCAGTCACCTGTGGCATCCCTGTAAATAGCTGCAAATCTTCTATGTTTCGTTTTGCACAATATATTTTTGAATCAAATTTATATATTAATACAAGTATAAATTTTGAGGAACTAATTTGATAGAAAGTTAAAGTGTTTGGGAGGAATTTCCTGCTTAAAATGAAAGAAAATGACAGTTTTGTTTCAGTACGTGTAACATAACATAAAATTTAAAAAAATATTTTTATTTATTTATTGTAATAACAATTGAATTTAAAATAAATTGGATGTGTTGTAATTTCGAATTCCACATCAGAACGAAATCTAGAATTATGCCATGCGTCTACGGCTTATTTCTTCTTGGTTTTGATGTTTACGGCTTGGTTTTGATCTCAGTTATACAATCTGATCTTTCGTGGTTTGTGAGCACTTAATATTTACATACCGTTTGGCATAAACATTTGACTTCAGAGAAATACTCCAGAAACAGAAAAATGCTCTTCATTCATTTTTATTCCTAAAATCCATATCGTCAACGTATCCAAATACTTAATTTTGAACTACGCAATAACACAGTTACATTAAAATCTAGTAAATATGGTATCCCTAGACTGCGTCACGAAGCAGTGACACGAATACATCAAAATCTAATAAATGTATCACACAAACCGTTCACGATGCAGTGACACCAGTTACATAAAAATCTAGTAAATTTGTCATTCCGAGACTATGTCACGAATGTCTCGTTCAGTGACAAGTTACAGTTACATCAAGTCCCAATAAATGTATCCGGCTATACACAGATTGCGTCACGAAGCAGTTAAACATTAAAATCTAGTAAATATATCACATTGACCGTGTCGTGAATCAGTGATACTTCAAAACCTAGTAAATGCGTCTCATATGGACTGTGATGCCAAGCAATGATACCGTCTAAAACTGATACATTTACTAGATGCGTTGCTTTCTTCCTAAGTGTAACAAGAATACTTCAAGATTTAATAAAAAAGTTCAATGCTAATAAAAAAAGGTATTATTTTATTTTTCGTTTTTATTTGAGATGTTCCGTACTTTATATTTACCTAGATACCTAATTCGTTGACCAAACAAATAAATTTCTCTGTTTTCAAATTCATTTTCTACTGTCACTTCCCCGTGTATTGTACCAGCTTGTCCATAAAAATCTAGAGCTTCCTGAAGGCTAGAAAAAAGAAAAATACTTGCTTGAACGTTTGAAACGATTATATGCATGTGCTTATTTATGAATCACATTTTCTTGATGAACTTACTTATTATATTGAGAATGTAATGTTTTTAAGGGAACTTCCGTCAAGCCACGTACAAATGTTTGGAGACTTATGTCGTATTTGAAATCATAGACATCCGATGCTGCTTTCCACCTACAAGGAAATTTAATTTGTGCAATTTTAGTTTTCTATATCAGCGGTTTACAATTTTTTACGGCAACGGAAGCCTAAATGATCGAGCATCTTTTGATGGAACCCTAAACATCTAAATAAAATTTATTATAAGATTTGAATAAATTAACCAAAGAAACACAACTAATTATTTCGACTTTATTTATTGAAAAGAATGAATTTTTTTTCAATAATCGTTTTATCATCAATATTCTTAAAATAAGAGGTTTTATTTCAAACAGTTGAATTCGCAGGCCTGAAGTGATATCTAGTCCAGATAGAAATTTCTTTTTAATGCACATATAACCTGGAAAGGAATATAATTATACTTCTCGGAATAGTTAACAGAGAAAGATAATTTGTTATTCTGGAATTTAATCATTTTATTTTGAATTTAAAAGTTCGACGAGAAATTCTGATGCAATTTTTTTTATAAATTTTGCCACTTCTTTTTTACTGGCATTATCCTCAAATAATTTCATCAAAATAACGAAATTATCAAAGAAATTATGGTTTATTGTTTTGATATAAATATTATTACAAGTTTCAAAAATTAGTACTGGTTTAAAAAATTCAAACTTTCGAAACCCTTCTGACCTTTTCACTTACTTTACTTTATTTACAAAAATTGGGCACCTGGGCCACTTAGCGGCCCCTATCCCATACATCTAGAAATTTACAGAAAATTTATAGTAATAACATTTTGAATTTAGCAGTCGATGTGGTAGCTAATAGAAAAACAAGCACTTTGCTTGAGTAAATATAACATTTGAATATCTGATTCATCGAATCTAAGTTGATATATATAAATATAANGTATTCAGGTTTTCATCTTTATTTTCCATGGTTATGTCTTCAGTGCTTGGATTAATTTCAGTCATTATTGATTCGAGTTGAATGGAGTTTTTATTCATCTCCTTGTTTTCTTCCGCTTGAAAGTTTTTCCTCTTCCACCTGACGTGATAAGCTGCATTTGTCAGTTTTAGGAAGTAGGAGTATTCATAGTCTCCAGAGTAACTTGATCTTATTTGAATGAGCAGTTTGCTAAGTAATTTATTTAAAACAATCAGCTCCTCTGTATCAAACTGAGTGTAAAACTCTACAATATCGTCAATATGTTCATGTTCAACTGGTGGAATATATCTTTTTGAAATCCCACAGGTAGCAATGATTTCTTCTAATGACGTGGATTCTTTGCAATGCTTCTGACCTTTTCAGGGAAACCCAGACTCACCATTAGGGAACCACTGCTCTACATCATACGAATTTCCTGAGATATTTAACTCTCCGCATACTTTATGGACACTTTATAGGTGTATAAGTTTAAGGAAAAAGTTTTCAAATAAATTACCATGTCAAAAATATTTTTTTATTTGATTTATAATATTTTTTAAATAAAAAGAATGTTCTACTTACAGAAGAGCGAATTTCACATAAATCATTCTTTTATCTGAGATATTCTCGTCGGAGGTTTCTCTGTAATAAGAAAAAAAAATCATAAAAATAGTAATTATTAGGTTAATAAAAACGTATAAGAAACACACACACAAAAAAACAGGATTATTGGAGCATATAAATTGAAATGAAATGTTATAATAATTATGGAAAATGTGCAATTATTAAGTATGCTTCTGTTCAAAATTGAAACTTTCAAAAATTTTCAAACTGTTAAAGATCGTTAAAACGAAAGGGGGGAAAAAGCTTTCCCTCAATAAACGCAGGCACCTGACTGGTTGATTCTTTCCCGTTAAGTCCAATGTCATTTTAAATTTAACGTAAAAACAATACTGCAATTAAATACGTTGAACTTAACAGTCTATTGTCATTGATAGTACCCTATATATACAGTAATAAAAAGTTCGGGATAAGATAGAATCAAAAGAATTTCGTCCACTGCTTAAATTGTTTTTTAGAAAAATGTATCAATCCTTTGCACTCTGATGTCGCCTCTAATGCGCCATCAAGGGTCACCACTGTAAAGTTTAAAACTTTTATACCATGATAATTAGCAACCACACTATTTTAGGATTCTTAAAAATACCGTATTAATGTTTTTTTAATGACTTTATGCCTATATCAATTTAAACATTTCAAACAGGGTTTATATGGTCTGGAAATTTTTTTAAAGTGGTAGCAAAAGTGAGATGTATCTAGATACTTTAAGCTCTCATATTAAATATTTAATTTAAAGGAAATATATATGGGTGGAAGGAATAACTCGGATACAATTTCGTAATTTACAAATGAAAGATACATTTAAGCATTTTTCAGTAAAATGTTTCTCAATGAGATTACAAGTTGCCCACTATTTAAGCGAAAAACATGTATCAATTTTTCTTGCTGTATTTTGAGAACAAAAATAATCAGATCAAACATTACCTTAAGTAGCCAGCAAAAAACAATCGCCATCTCCTCATCGGTGATTCGCACTGTAGCTGAAGTCCTCCACAAGAAAATGTCACTTCATCCACACAAGCTTGCTGAAAATCGAATGTTTTCTCCAATTTATAGATTTTACCAGTTTCCAATTTCAGAAAAATGAAGGCTTCAGCTTTATTGTTGCATTTTCTATTTATTTTTGCAACTAGAATCTCTGACTTTGAATTACCACCGTAGAATAAAATTTCATCATCTCTCTAAATTTAAAAAAAAATTATATGAATTAAAATATTAATTATAATAATATGTTGAAAAGAATAAAAATTGCACAAAAAATAAAAAGAAATACGCATTTATAAGATGCAACAGAAAACATTTGGTCAGTTTTAATATTAAATATTTTATTGCAACATAATGCGAAAATGGATTTCAAATTTAAGAATTATTATTAAGTGTAGGGCAGGGCGTCTAGTTTCCATAATTATTTCATTATATAAATAATGTTGTCCAGGTTCAACTTTGCGATTTAATTAGATAAATGCACATTGCTTGCTGCTAACTTTGACAGGAATACCTCAGGCGAATAAAAATCTAAGAAGTGGTGATTTATAAAAAGCAAAAATATATTAAGAGAGATTAAAAATTTTAAATTTTTCTNTCTTCTGTAATGCTACCTAAATGCTGCATAATTCAAAATGTTTTTTAATTCAACTTGTAAATACTTCATGCTGAATGGGTTAGGGGCCGCTGCGCGGCCCAGGCACCCAGTCTTAGTTAAATAAAGAGAAAACTATGTTCAGCCACTAACGGTCTCAGGCGCCCAGATAAATTTTGATAATTATGATGATGATAAAACTATGTTAATGTAACTGCAGTCAAGCTTATGTGGGAAAATAAAAAGAAGAGAATAATAATATTTGAGACCTACTTTTTTTTCTAGACAATAGAAAATCCATAACTACCAGAACATATTAATACTTAAAACTAGCATATTTACACAAAAACTGAAATTCGTATTATTACTTTTTAATGTATAGTGGTAGTCACAGGCAATTCAATCCCCCCATAAAAAGTCCCATCCCGAAATGAATTGATATTACTACGAGTTGTTGTTGTCATCGTATGACATTTTGACAATGCTGGCAGGTCAATTTTAGAGCAGAGGGGTGCACTTCTTCTTCTATTTAAGTGGCGCCATCTATGTCCAAGAATTCGACTTCTGCCACACACATACGTCACAGCCAGTTTCACAGGGAGGACGCATTCCCCCTCCATCCATCCACAGATCGCAATTTTGACCTGAACCAGAGCACGATCAATCTCCGATCTAGTAACCCCAGAGATATTGATTTGTTATCCGATCTTAGTTTCCCGACAGATTTAGCATGCACATGTCACTATTTTAGCAAGCACATGTTACCATGCCTTTGGCCGGTGAGGATCGAACTGACGGCCTCATCGACATGGGTCTAACACCCTACCAACCGGACTATTCCGGTCCATTATTATCAATAATTTATTTTTTACGTATACGCAACAGCCCTGATGAAAGAAAGAAAATAAAGAAGTGAAAAAAAAGTTTATACATTTAATAATTAAGAACAATGAAATTTTTTTATTCTACTAACACTTCAATTAAATAAATTTATTAGTGATGAACTTTAGGAATAATTTATAATTTTTCTAAAAACTTATTTAAAGTAATCACTAAACTTTTTTGTATCTATACTGCACCTAAGAACAGAGTTAAACGAATAAATGATATTTCTATTATTAAGGTTGTAAAAAAATATTTTATTTATTATGGGTGTCAAAAAATGTTTTATTTATTCACTATTTGAAAAATGTTTTATTTATTCACTATTTGAAAAATGTTTTATTTATTAAGGATTTTAAACATTTTGTGCTTAGTAAAGATACATATAAAACAGAGAAGTTCTTCATTTATATCACACCTATGATGAAGAAATCAAACAAAAACTGTATTACTTCTATGAAAATTTACTACAAAAAATAAGTACTTCCCACAACGATCTATTTCCATTTTTGTTAAGAAAATTTACATAAAAAAATCACATCGTTACCTAGTTATTTATTCATACAAAAATACAGAAATTATTTAATATAAAGAGAATTTTTAAAGGAAGCACAAAACATTAACATAACTCTTAAATTTTCTAAAAAAATTCCTTACGAATAATCTTTGTAATTTTTATTTCATAAACACACAATAATATTTCGTTAGTAATATTTAATTTCTAGATTAGATATAATTTCTAAATTTCTACATTAGTTAAAATAGTATCGACAGCAATTATTATATTTTACTTACATTTCGTAGATGAGATTCTTTTTGGGGAGATTCTAGTTCATGCTCCTCTTCTGGAATCGTGAAGTTTACTTTAACTGGATCATTTTTGACTGTATAATCATACAAATCTATTCTTTTCTTGGCGTTACGTTTGTAAATTCTAACATACATATAAAGTATAAGCCATTTACACCACCTTGTACAATCTGCAACAAAATATTTAAAAATTATTTGTATGAAGGTATTTATTTATATCCTCTATTGGTTTAATAAAAATTTCGTACTTTTGATTAGTTTGGAAATTTTTGTATTTATTTAAGATTTAGCTTTTTTTTCTTTTTTTTTCTTTTTTTTTTAGTATTTCCCCATGTTTTCGTATATATGTTCTTAAGTACTTGAGTAGGTGCACTGTTAAAGTATTTGGTTACAGACATATGCAGTAACATGAAAACATAGATAAGTGAAAGTGAAGGGAAGTAAAACGATATAGCTACAACTGTATATTACTACATTCATTATGCCGGCCAGATAGCTGAGAGGTCAGGTTGCTAACTGAAAAGCCAAAGGTCACGGAATCGAATCCCGCTTTGGGCATGGATGTCTCTCTCTGTTCGTCCCCTATCGCGTGCAATATGAATGTTGCCCTTCCAATGAACGGGCATCTCTGGCAACGTGTCTGCTACTTTTTTCACACTATCCGTGTATTCTCGATATATCTTCGTATCTTTCAACCTTGAAAATTATAGTTCTCTGGCAATTTTTTTAAAAAAATGAATAACTCGTTGGTTTATATTTGTACATGAACGAGGACATCTGAATCAAAAGTATTTCCCGTAACCAAACGTTGTTGACCAATGACGAGTTAGCTCGACATTGCAAGTGTAATGACGAGTTAACTCGTCATCGGTCTACAACTTTTGGGCATGAGAAGACAAGTTGATTCGTCTTCTGTCAGCAATGTGTTATTACATAAACCCCTATTTATAAAGCTTCAAAAATATTTATTTTACAGACAATAATTCAAGCTTATGTATAAGATTCCCAAAAGCCTTAACAATTTTATATAGTGTTAAGAAAATCTGATAAACATTTATAATATTAACACGCTTCTTTCGTTCGTTGTAGTTGAGCTGGACGTCTGAGGCCTTATATAAACATACTCGAGACAACTATTATGAATTATTTCTTAAACTTGCATAAATATTGTGGAACTCAAAAATATTTCAACTTAAATTAATTGAAATAAAATTAAGGATTGTTGAAGTTGTTGTTGTTGTTGTCGTAGACCATTAAGGCAAGGAGTAAGATTGTTCTTGTTTTCCAGTGGCGGCATATATGACCAAGAATTCGACTTCTGCCACATCCACGCGTCACACCCGTTTATGGGACGAATCCATTCATGCATCCTTTCATTCATCCACAAATCGTTATTTTGACCTCAACCAGAGAACGATCAATCTCCAATTACCTAAAGTACCCTCAGATGTATAATTTACGATCACGAGAACGATTAATCTGCAATATCCCCAGAGATATAATTTGTTACGGCCATATAGAGGACTTTGTGACTCCGACAAATTCAATGTATATCAGTCACCATTTATTAGACAAGGAGTCTGCTAGATTTGAACTATCGCTCTCAAATACGTTAAACATTATCTTCAAGGTTCCTGCGGTCCCGAAAAAATTTTAAAAGTGGTAGAAAATGTAGGGTAATGCTAGAATATATTTTTTATTTTAATATACCATTTTATCGTTAAGTGCTGGAATTTTCATGTATATATACTTTCTATGAAAAACAATTTATAGTAGCGGCTACACAAGAATTAAAATATCAAAATTTGTCTTATTTTCGTTACAACTTTTTAAAAGTTTCAAGGCCCGCGAGAACCCTATATCAGAACTACCGATTTAAACAGTATCTAGCAGTACCTAGATCGTATATATTACTTAAATCTGCTCTTAAATTTAAATTGGGACAAAGATGGAAGAAGGGAGTGGTATTATTTACGTAAACTAAGTTACGAAATAAAACTATCAGAATTCGTTCGTTCTTTGTTGTGGAAGTGGGCGTCTGAGGCCTTACAGCCCTTTAAAACTATCAGAAAGCTTGCAAGCCTATCATATGTATGTTTATATTATTCAAATGCAATGGCTATCAAAATCATTTTAAACTGTATTTATCTAATGAAGAATAGAAAGTTATTCTATAAATTTTGCCACCATCTTAAATACAAATATAAAACATCTGCTGGCGAAACCGGAAGAGTTGGCAAGTATGCTATCATAAATAATAAAGCGATGTTTTATATTCACAATAGCAGCCTATGTTTGAAAATAAATTAGATTTAGCATAAAACTTTTTCATTAAAGTACCTTTTCACTACTAAATTATCCGTTCTAAATTACTTTTGATGCAATGGTTTCAGTGCACTATTAAAATTAAGAAAGTAATAGGAATTTTTTTAAAATTATTAATGTAAGGAGATAGTTTTACTATTAAAGCATTTTAACAATTTACGTGATAATATTCAGTTCTAAACTTGCTAACAGTGATTGCTAACAGTTACTTGGAAAACTCGAATTTTCCAGGAGAAAATATATTTACCAACAAGAAATGCATTCTTGTGACTGTTATTGAAAAATTACCTGCCTGACAGTTATTTGTTTTGAATGAACCATACTGGAAAAAAGGATCCAAAATTTTACCTACGCTACTGAATAAAATATTACAACTATGTTTCTTATGTTGTAGTTGCTCTCATTTTTTGAATCTTGAAAAACTCGAATTTTCCAGGAGATATTTACTAACAAGAAATGCATTTTTGTGACTGTTTTCGAAAATTCACTTGCCTGGCAGATGACACTGAAACTTTTTTTTGACATAATAAGCATTCTTTCTATACATATTCATGAAACATTCGTCTTAATTAAAACAATTAAATTTATTTCATGACACTGATATCCCAAAAGTTAAAGTCTCTTACCAGAAATTCTTGCTATAAATAACCCTATAACAAAAGTAAACAGAAGAGCTGACGATAGTTCCATGCTTGCTTCACCCTTAAATGTAATCGCATACTGATAGAAAAAAATGAAGATGAAAGCTTTGTACCTTAAGTGATTACTGATAACTGAAAATCAAGTTAGATTAGAACTGATATAAGTACGAGAACGAAGTTGCGCAATGTAATATAATTTATTCCTGACACCGATTACACAACATAATGTAGAGAAGGGCAGATCATTGTTTTAATGCATATCATTTATTTTATGAGTGGTTCTATAAATGAATGATAGGCAGATATTTTTTTTAATGTAATTTGCATAAATCATTTTAAATGCTGGGCTCCTTTAACCCCTTGGGGACGGGTGATTCAGAAAAGCATTCGTACAAAATCAGAATCAAGTTGTAATTAAATAAAAAACAATAATTTAAATGTGGTCGTTGCTAATTTGACAGACTTACTTTGCTTTTACTTTAATTATTGTTAGTTTAATTATATATATAATCAATGTTAATTCAAAGTATAACTAAATAGTTTTAATTTGAACAAAGTAATGGTGAATTAAATAAATCAAACAATTATAACTCCGCCCACAAATAAACTGCTAAAGAAATACTTTGATTACCAGTTTTATATTTTTACAATGATTGATGCAGTTTTATGCTGTCACGTATTTGTGACAGTCGGCGCGAAAGGGTTAAAATATCGAAACGGTTCCGAGTATTGAGTGCCCAGTTGATAATGTAGTATTTTTTTTGTTTATACGTTTTTTAAAAAAAATAACGTATAAATCGAAATTATTGAATTATATTAATTAAATAAAAAGAATAATGTATAAACTCGTAGACGGTTTTGTTTTCAATGCCAAGAGATAAGGTAGTAGTCAATAAGGTAGTAGGTTTAATCAGGTTTCTGCGGTTTTAAAAATTCTTTTAAAAGTGGTTAAATTAAATCAATTTGGTTATTTTATATAGATAAAATTAAACAAATCTGGATAGATCACTATTTGCATATTAGTTTTTAAAAAAATGCGCCTTAGAATTTTTCGCTTTAAATCGCTAAAGTGTATTGAGGAAGAAAAAAAAACGTTTTTTAATAATTTTTGATCTTATGATCGGATTTTTACACAGTAGGCATGTGAAGGTTACTTTTAAAAATTAACGACTGAAACTACAAGTACGTGAAGCAAAAGTAACAAGTAAAAGTAAAGTGTACAAATAAAAGTACCAATGAAAGGAACAATTCTTAAGTCGTTAGAAAAGTCACATCTATCTATCTAATTTAATCTGTTTTCTATCAGATTTTATTAAGTCATTCATTAGGAAATTATAAGAAAAAAAATTTAAATTTCAAGTTCAAAATACATGAAATTTTAATTTAAGTTTACAAAATCTTAAAAGGCTTGAAAATGTTACGAGATTCATTGAATTAGTGACCTTAGAAAAAATCCAGAAACCGAAAATCACTGTTTACTTCAATGTTTGCATATAAAAAGGAGTTTCAATTTATGTTAATTTCAATTAAGATTTTTTCCGACATTTACGTTACAATTACTTGTACTCTCTCCCAAATAAAATAACGAAAAAACAAGAAAAGTACTAAATTTAAAAACTAACGAAGTTTAAAAAAAAAGTACGTACTTCTTACTTTTACGTAAAAGTTCCATGCATAAGTAGGACTCAATCTAACTGGTTCGAGAGGGTGACCTCAAATATGCTAATAAATAAGCGCAGACAATATTTTAAGTTACGAAATCAGATACAAAAATGTACTTTCTCTAAATGTCTCCTCCCCCGAAATATAGAGGATCTGGGATATATAATCCTTATAGTTTCCTCAGGAAAGTTGGCGAAAGATTATAATGTAATTATTAAATGCCGATTTTACTCTTTGCTTACTTCGCCATTCCTCAAGAATTTTATAAGCTAATCGAGAAAAAAAATTTTGCCCACAATTTTAAAATTCGTTTATCTAAAGATAATTCCATGCAAAAAATAGTTTTTAATAATTATATTTATTATTTTTTTATAATTTTAATCATAATTGGAAGAAATTTTGCATAACAATGTGTTCAAATTTTTACATACTTTTAATGAGCGTAATTTTTTATGACAAAATGCTAAGGTTCGAACGAAATTGGCCAAATAGTTCCTAGGAAATTAAATTTAAAAAAAATCAGATATTAAAAATTTTCATTATTAAATGCTTTTTTTTCAAATAAAAGAAAAGTTTGCGTAACAAAATGTTTTTTCTAACAGAGCTCTAAGTATTAAAGTGGTACCTTAAATAAAGATCTAATAGTGGCAGTAAAACTTTAAGTAAAATTTACTGCCACTATTAGATTTTTGCCACTTTAATCACAGCTGCTTTTTTAGTTACTATGATTGATTATCACTTTAACGTCTTCGTGACAGGCCGCTCAGAAATATATTCACACAGAACCAGGATCAAAACGAAACTGTTAGCTTTTACGAGAGCAAGGGTTACTTTGACTTTAATTATAACACACGACCCAACCAATGTTAGCTCAATGAGTAACGATATAATTTTTATTCTGAACTAAGTAGCGGTGGATTAAATTAATCTATTACTACCCCGTCCACTGATAATACGTTAAAGAAATAATTTGGTTGCAAGTTTTATTTTTTTAACCCTGTTTGTCGTTTTTTTTTATCACGGAGAATGCATACAGGACTCGCCCGTCTAGAAAAAATTAAAGACTGATAAGAGTCTTATGAAAATTCTAATTCTTTAAAATATTTGTTTCAGTTCACGACTTCTGAAAAAAATTGTTTCTTAAAATCTTCAAATATATGGGAATGGTTGTAATTCATTTATTACTGCATAGTGCTCTCTTTTATGAGACTTTTAAAAAACTCTTTCAAGAGTTGACTTATTCACAAGTTTATCAGACTCCATTTAAAGAGCAGGTGGACATTAGTGTCTACTACTAAATACATGGTCGCTGTGGCAGGATAGACATTCGACTTAGAAAAAAGTAACCCTCTGTATATACTTGAAATTATAGCGAAATTGAGTTAAATAAGTAGGTATNATATATATATATATATATGCTTCAAAATTGTATTTAAAATTATTGATGGTTTAGGATAGTTTTATTTTTCAAACATGTAATAATTAGCAGCACTTTCACATTTCTGAATCTATTAAAAATTTTAAATTTGTATTTCATTCACGCTCTTAATAAAATTCGAATATTTAAACATTGTCTTTTTTATTATCTGCATTTTATTGCTCTTATGAAAACTGTTTTCACAGCATAATTTTGATTTTTATGATATTTTGGGGTACACCAAAATGGTAGGATGTTTTCACCTTATCTATGTAACCTTTTTCAACATTTTCTGTTTCTACTTATTTCTGTCTTCCTTTTAATCCTATACATCTAAATTTGACCCATATCCTATTCCTATTTGAATTATTGATCTTAGTTTCAGCCCCGCTAGGAGCTCTAACTAATTCATCTGAGTATGAAAATGATGTATGATGTATGAAAATGATGTAAGATGTATGAAAATCGCTGAAGCGCAATTGAGTGAGGAAAATGGGATCAGTAACTTTTACTGAAATACATATAAATATGAAGCACGATAAAAGAGAACTAAGCGACAAAGAGGTTTTGTGACTTACTGCCTCGCCTCCCCCCGGGGTTTTAGCCCCGAGCTTCACGGGTGCAGAGCAAGCCACATCACCCCAAAATATTTGAAATTAAGCTCAATTTAAGTGAAATTAGAACGTGATATTTACAAAATTTAAATTATTTACAATTATTTACAGTATTTGAGCGACAGTACCTCATCATCAGATAAGAAGAAGACGATTGCCGGGCTATACTTTATGTTATCGTGTATCAAGTCAAAATCGAAGTTCTTATAGTAGTTGCACTTATCACAGGATAGCGCATCTGTGAAGAAGATCTCGCATACTTCAAAATTTTACCCCTTTTACCTAACGTGCTTTTAAGTAATTAATTTAAAAAAGCAAACTGTTAACACAAGCGTCTTTATGCAACACATATTTTGAAAGATTTGACAGTACAAAAGTGTTGGCACAGTTTGAAAGATCATGCTTGAAGCTTTTAGAAAGGATGTTTTTTTTTTTTTTTTAGATGATCGCCCACCTCGAAGAGGTTAAATCGAAATATTGATAATAATATCACCAATATATTATATTAACGGTATAATCACCAATATTTTGATTTAAAAATTAGGAACATATATAGTTTTTGTTTTACCAAGATATAATATTATACAGTAGTTTGCTTTTATCTTTTTAAATATATTCATGCTCTGATGCCTCGTGCTTGGTCTTCCTTGTTCGGCTAAAAAGAGAAGAAAAAAAATCCCCACCTGTAATCGCCCTCTTTACTACATTTTAACATTTTACTTCCATTAGGTTTAATGGAAATAAAAAGTTTGTTTTATTTTAGAGTACCTAAGTGAATCGGAAAAAATTTTCTTTTAAATTACATACTACAAGCGTTTCTGTAAAAAAGGCTTGCACAGAAAGCAAAGATTGTTCATTTTGTAACTGTAATTTCATAGCTTTCAAAATTAGGTAATATAGTTTCATTATCTATTTCGTCTTCTAAAAGTAAACATCATTTGTAGGAGAACAATTCAAAAGAGAAACATTATTTGCTAACAAAATCGCTACATGAATAGATCTCGTGCAGATAAAGAAAGAACTCTGGCGTGCAATTTCTTTTCTTTCTTGGAGGAAAACCCTGTGTATTTTAATCATAATTATTGAAAGGAAAAAAAATCTAACGATAATAATAGAATTATCAATGAAAAAAATTGCAGACGTTGCGTTAAATCTCGGTTTATAATTTAAACGATTTTGTCATTACCAAATCTCTGTTGTAACGAACAAGAAAGTGTAGTTTTTTTTTCATACCAACATCACTAAGTATTTTGAGGAAATTTAAAAGTCAGCATTAGACGACTCTTTACAGCTTTTACTTTGTGTTTCGGGGGTTTTATTGCTTCTTAAGGATATTATAGATTTTGAATATAGTTATGAGCACGATTCAAGAAGTTATACTGTACAATGTTTTGCTAAATCATTGCATGTGTTTTTAGAACTGTTCCGCTTGATTGCACTGCAGT